ACGGCACTTTTTCGCCCGAGTTCACCACAGAAAGTGGTGTTCGTCAGGGTTGCCCTCTCTCCATTTCTATTCAACTTTGTTATAGGTCCGATTATGGAAACAGCCCTGTCCTCGTGCGAGGATAGCGGTACCGATTTACTCCAAGGAGACAGACTGCCTGATCTAGATTACGCAGACGACATTGTGCTACTAAGTGAAGATCCAGGTAAGTTGCAAGCTTTTCTGGATAGCTTGAGCGCCAGAGTAACCATGTTCGGTATGTGTTTTACACCTTCAAAGTGTAAAATGTTACTACAAGACTGGGTTGGTCCAGCACCCAGCCTCACTCTAACTGGGGAAGTAATAGAGCAGGTGGATAAGTTTTGTTATTTGGGCAGTTACATCTCACCCGGTGGGCGCATCACGGAGGAGATGTCAGCTCGCATACAGAAGGCTCGGTTGGCATTTGCCGACTTGAGACATCTGTGGCGCCGTCGCGACATCCGGCTGTCTGTGAAGAGTCGAGTGTATGCCGCAACAGTTCGCCAATCCTGCTATACGGTGCAGAAACTTGGCCATTAAGAAAACAGGATAAAGACAGACTGTCGGTGTTTGAACACCGCTGTCTACGCAGCATTGCATGAATCTGGTGGGGTAGCCGGTTGAGCAATGCTGAGGTTAGGGGTAGAGTTTTAGGTATCCGCGGTCGCCCACTGAAGCAAGTGATTAACCTCCATAGATTACGTTGTTTGGGACATGTGTTACGCATGTCACCAGATAGGTTACCGCGGCGAGCGATGTTCGCCGAAGCAGATACCGAGTGGAAAAAAGCCAAGGGTGGTCAGGCTAAGACCTGGCACGAGGGTATGAAAACCGTAACCAGGAGACTGGGTCACATAGGTCCTGTTAGGCTCCCTGGCTGGGGACTTTGGGATGATTGTAACNCACTTCTACTCTGTGTGTATTCTAATACAATACAATACAAGCGATAGGTCTGTTCCGTTGAAGTCTGTGAACCTTCGTTTGGAGCATTTGTCTCGTGTAAAAAGGTTTCTTTTTTAGGTAGAACCCGAGAGAGGAGATTGCGAAACTGACGAATCCAAACGGTGTCACTGCGCATCTTCGATCTCCCTCTATGTACAGCTAAGCAGCCGTGTGATGGTCGTTCCATTATCTGTTGTTTCGCGATGCTTCAGGTAGCACGTAGCAATGTCTCTGGTTGGGGTAAATTTTACAATACCGCTGTCTAAAACTATCGTCAAATAAATATGTGCCAACGATCTAAATGTAAAGCCTTCCAGCTCTTACAAGTACTTGGGGGCTGAAGTGGATACACGCGGCAATGTTATTCCCATACATGTACTTATGACCATATATGGTCCACGAAACTTCTTCCACTCAAGAAAAATAAAGTTTCGTCTAAATAAAACATCATGAAGCTCCTTGAGGTAACAATCAAAAAGTAAGATGATCCTGGTCGTGCGATATCAACATCCGAACTCTTTCGTGTTTCAGATGGCCTATGATTGTGGCTACACAATATCAGTCATTCTTCCTGTGGAATGAAAAAATTCATAACGAGGGTTCTTCCAGATTGGTTCATATATTGCAAACATCCCCATTAACCGCAGCTTTTCAATTAAACTTGCA